AAACATACAACACAGAGGATGTTTTGTGGTTTGCACTTTTTGTACGAGTTCTATATCTTCCTTCATTGTGGTTTCATTACCGCTAGTACTAACCCATTTACTTCTCTCTCTGTGCACTGTTGCTCTTCATGCCTCTGCATAGTGAAAAGTATGACAGTGGATCCCACCCTTTTATTTTGTACAGCTCAAGTATGCCCTCGTACACCCTTAATTGCAGCCTGTGGTGATTCACGTTGGTTCGATGTTTGGCTTGTGAAGTTGGTTATTGGGGTCTATTACATATTGTGATTGTGTTGATATCTGCGTAAATGTAATCCAATATTCGCCGGTATGAAACCAGGCTTTTTTCCCGGTATACAATGCATAACATATTAGTGTCACTGCAAAATTTAGAGTGCTGCAATTTACAATACTGCACAGAGTAAGGGAGAAGAAGCAGCTCTCTGCCGTGTCAGCTAGAATTGGTTAACAATGTATGTTAAAATATTAACATATTAAAGATTATTTAAGTGAAATATTCATTATGTAAGTTATTGGTTTAAGAAAAAAGCCGTCTGAGTACCTTTGCATAGTCATATTGGTGCACAATCCGCATAGAAAAGAAAAATTACAGCAAAAAAAATTCCCCAATATTAGTAATATGTGAATTTCTATTTTTATGTTTCTAAAATTGGTATCAGTCAGAGCTTCTCTCCACATACCAATTCTAACTCCTCAACTCAGGTTATCAGCCAATACCACTGCTAGTTCACAAAATTTAAACATGTATCACTTGTCATTTGAGGCCGCCTCGGCTAGTAAACTGAAAGTCTGGAGGTGTGGAGTAAGAAAGAAGTGAGCTGCTCATTTTTCCTCGAGACAGCAGCCTTAATAACCTTTGTACTGACACAGATATTGATCCAGCGTATCGAATTGGTGCATCCCTAATGATGACAAATACTGAAGATCAAGCAAACCGTCTCGATTGCTTATTTCCCAGACATGTCCATATAGGTTTTTAAATCAAATCATAATTGCAATTTTTTTTAATTAAGCCAGTACTCCACTATCTTTCCGTGTACCTCCTGGCAACTGCAGAGGTATCCCTCATATATCCTGCGGACACCTTTGCACGACGAGCCCCTTTAAATATATTCAACTTTAAAGAGGGTACTGGCTAAGGTCAATACGACATGCCGCTCAAATCCAACATCTTGTCACACGAGAATACAGTGAAATAACAGCCTGTCATCTCTCACAGGGGTGAATTAGCCTGTAGGAAAGTGCAGAAATGACAGGCCAAAGTGACACATTTGCAGCACTGACGGAAAGTATGTGATGACTGGAATCTAATTGACCTTTTCATGGAGAGGATTTGTGAGTCCACCTGTTGATGGGTGCAGAGAGGTGGCTGTCTGTACACACACACATATAGGTGTTATTTTTATTTATTTTTTTGTCTCTGTGATCAGGCCAAGAGGGTTATGAATAGCCACACTTAACGCTAAATAAAGACAGATAGATATGTGCACAGTATTGTGTGCATGCTAGAAGCGTCAGGTGGTTTCCCCCTCGGCTCCTGCCGGTCTCATCATGACAGCATTAATGAGAGTAAAACAGAGAGGTATGATAAGAGCACTGTGGTTTTCACCTTTCTTTATAAGATGGGTGACTGTAATAGGAGTTTCCTATCTGCTTTACTAGGAATTACTGAATTGAGGAAGTGTACATGACTGTTCTGTACTCAGACTTCCTGCTGTGTGTGATTCATTTGTGATTAATTGGGTCAAATGTTTGATTTTGAATGTGACCATCTGTCTCCCTGAAGCTATACTGAACACAAAAACTGGCTGCAACTACATTCATGATATATATATTGAAAAAAGATCAGTACTCAATCTCATCATATACAATCTAAAATACCCTCCTACTACTATAACCCCCCCAGCCCCCCAACCACCACCAAAAGCCTGTTTTCTTTCTTCCCTCCTCGACTCCGACACTGATTAACATTCACAATACTTGCCAGCAAGCTTGTAACGACTTGGCCAGCAAGCTTGTTACAAGCATCATCACACAGGGACGCGTTTCCGCATTGCATTATGCAACATGTATTTCCATTTCATATTTAAAAAAAAAAAAAAAAAAAAGGAGGCTTGTTAGCAGACAACAAACCAACAGGGGGGAGGGAGGAAGATATACTGGTGAAGTTCGGGCTCAAATGAAAATCACAAACCCGCCTTCCTCGCCTTTTTCTCATCACTTCGCTTTTAAGTAAAAGTGGTGCAACAAAAACCGAGTCGTGAAGTGATTATTCGAGTAGTAAATGTTAAATAAAGAATGAATAAAACAACCCTACCTTGGCGTGTTGAAAGGAGCCAATGGCTCTTGCCGCGCTGTCAGTGAGTTTGACATGAAAAACAGAGATGTTGCCGCCGCGGTTCAGTTTACCGCTGGACAGTCCGTAACACTGGGTCTCCTTTAGCGCCGACATCCCGCCGCAAATCGCCCTCCTGCTGCCGGGCTTATTCCGGACCACACGAACCACACATACATAAACAAAACACAAGACGAGAGGGAACCGGAGAGAGAAAAAAGAGGCTTGAACGGCTCCGTGTGGCTGCTCCTCCGCCGCGCGCTATTCTGGAGTAGATCGCATTACGTCATGACGGCTGAGGACATTTTATTGGCCCAGAGACATAAATAAATCGTTACGTAGGCCTTACGTAACCACTTCTTTTTTTGTGCCCTTTCATACTATGTTAATTTTTGTTTCTCTCGCACGCGGGGAATTTCTCGGTTGTGAGTGCGTGAACAGAGACTGAATGAAGAAATTTAAAAAAGATTTCTCTGGCTGAGTAATGTTTTCATCCAGGGCTGTAGACAGGGTTTAGACATACTGAAGTCGCCCCCCCCCCCCCCCATGCATCCCTCAAACAAATATTTTTGAAAATTACATCACCTCCTTTTCATATATGTAATATATATTAAGAATGAAAAGATTTATGCAGTGGACTCAGATCTTTAAAGTAATACAAATAGCACATTGTATAGATAGATAGATAGATAGATAGATAGATAGATTACCTGTTAAAAATCCTGTCAGTAACCTACCTTTCATTACTTATGGATCACCTCAACACCAAACATGCAAATAAAGAAGAAGAAATATCAATAAGAAGAGCACTGATGACAACAAAACAATGTAATCTTAGAAAAGAAAACACCAAAAATGTGTCTGCTTAGTGTATTTTTAAAGAAAAACTTATGTATACTAAGGATTTTTACTAAATGTTAATATAATCTGATTACATCTTCTTTTCTGTAACTGTAATGGATTAGAGTAATTTAAAAAAAAAGTTTTATCAACGTGCAGGAGAGGTTTTGAATTTATGAATATAATCATACTTTAAAAACAGGAAAAAGCTAATACTGTATTCTGACAATATTCTCCTGTTTGTCTCCGATCCGGAACCTTCTTTGCTGAAGATAGTTGACAATTTTTCAAACATTTCTGGATGTTAACTAGCCAAAATCAATGGCACTCCCCCTAACAACATACTGCCCTAAGTCACTCTTCCAGTCAGGTCATTTTAGCTGGCCCAAGAAGGGCTTTACGTATCTAGGAATAACATTCCCCCCCAAAAAAATCTATGGCTGATTTGGTGTAACTTTGAACCGTATGCAATACATTCTTATGGAACAATAAACGATCCAAACTTAATCCACGCAAACTACAGAGACCAATTGACCAATGGATTACCATCATGCATTTAGTCTTAGACACATGGCACACTGGTTCTTGCCTTCAGAGAGAGCCCCACCCTGGTTTGTTCTGGAAAGTACCCTGTGTAACCCTCTCTATCCGGCACACTTTATCACAGCCAAATCACCCCCAGATGTCAATACACATCCAATTGTCTCGCTTATATAATGGGGACTTATGTCTCAGCAAGACTAAGAACTGGCCATGCTTTTATCTTTAGCACAGCCGACTGCCGTAACGGTCTCTCTAAAAAGTCAGTTTATTCAGAGCAGTGCTTTTTTTGAGACCATAAAGTGGAGCATCACTGCAGGTGTCAGATCTTTGCACTGGCTTTCTGTTAAACCGATGAATGCAAAGGCCCAAAACCTGATATCCTATGAACCATCCAGACCTCCTTGGTTGGCTGGGACAGATTTGCTGCCCACAGGGTACAGACAAACACTGTTCAGTTTTCATGCACCTGGAAGGTCTCGTCCAACTCTCGTCTTTTAAATTGAAGAACCTTTCTGTTCGCCCCTGCTATTTATTGAAAAAGATTTGTTGCATTCAGTTTTTGCTTTTTATTTTAAAATCCTGTTCATATGTTTTTTTATATTGCTTTGTGTTTCTCTATTGTCTTAATGCCTTGTATAGCACTTTGATTTGCTTTGTTAAATAAACGTATTGTGGTGCAGTAAGTTAGTAAGTATAATGAAATATTGATAAAAATCAGTGCAGACTTGATGTACAGTGTGGTGTATTGAACAACAGGAGTTAGTTCAAATGTTTCTTCATACCATATGAAAAGAATGAAATACAGCAGTTGCATTCAACTGTGGGAAAATAGATTTTAATGGCTGCTGTAAATTGTTTTTTTGCTAAACCATGATCCCATGTGCCAGATTCTAATATGCGTTTATTATGCTCCTAATTGCGTTTGTGGCTTTGCTTTTTTTAATTTGGTTAATTTAAATCTGGGATTGGAAAACCCTGTTGGTAACCTCTGGTCTCTCTGGTCAGGTGTATCAGCCTCAACACAGATTTATTTGACTTCTGCTTTTGGTTCCTGGTTTGGAGACAGTCCTGGGAACTGAATCTAATATGGAAAAGTCATTACCTGTTTGTGGATGTTAATCATTTATTCATTCTGCCTTTTATTTGTAGATGTCAGTTTTTGGCTGTAGAGGATATTACAACAGAATTTGGCTTGAGAGGCTCAGTCGGGTGTTTTTCTCATCCAGTGTTGCTATGATGAGTATAGACTTTATCCCCTTAGTCTCCACTTCTCATATTGACGCTATAAAAACTCTTCAAAGGGTAACCCCTGGGTTGAATATTGTCAGAAAGTCAGTAATAATAACTAACAGAGGTGGAAAGAGGGCAAATATGTGATATTCTAGAAGTCCACATAGAAGTAAAAGTCTACCATTCAGACTTAAATAAAAAAGTAAGTTATTTACAGTGTAGTTAGAGTTTAAGTTACCGCTTTTAAAAATGTTGTTTATGTTTTTTCCATGCAAGAAGAATGGGAAAAAACTACAACTTACAAAACAGCACACGCCAGGTAAGGCACAATATGTATGACTCTGATGTCCACACCAGTAAACACACAGCTATAGAAAAATACTTTGAAATGCACTTCACAAGGGGTCTTTATTATTGTTTCATGCCCATTCACGACATGTTTGCATGTTTAGGATGTAGGAAATTTTTGATTAATATGCTTTCCTGCTGCTTATGCTTGCTGCTAATTTTATTAGCTCCAACTAATTGCTGTTTGACTTAATTGCATGTCTGATGTTTGAGGGTTGCTCAAGTGCTTTCCTGGTCTCTCCCACTCTCCCTCTCTTTTTAAATCATTCAAGTCAGATTTATCTATTTAACACAACAGTTGCTCAGTGCTTTGCAGAGAACAAAAGACACAAAAACCAGCAAATACAAAAGAAAGAACAAGAGCATTTTTAGATACAAATGAGCTGCTGTGTGCATATGAAATTCAGTGTGTTTGTGTGTGTGTGTGTGTGTGTGTGTGTGTGTGTGTGTGTGTGTGTCATCTGTCTCCCTCTGCCAGTGTTTGAACACAGACAGTGGTCACAAGGCAGATGAGAACTGTTCAAAGCTGACTCATATCAAAGGGCCTCTGGGTCTTTGTAGCACAACAGGTGTCTGCAACAGGTGACATTTTGGACTCAATAACCGTTTATAACTTTGAACGTTCGCTGTGGGCCGAGCCTGCCCTCAACCCAGCAGGTAAGGAGGGGACAGAGGAGTTACAGACGGACTAGATGAAAGTTAGTTACTTTATGGACTACTTTATGGTTTGCTGCCAGCGAGCAACATGAGGATTCATCCACAAGTCAAGGTAAACCGTTTTAAAGGATAAAATGGATTAATGGCTTGAAATGATGCAACTCATCTGAACAAATTAAATATGTTTTTTTCTTTATTATTTATTTATTGTTATTAGAAAAGGAACTAAGCACTGAAGAGGAAGCATCAAGGTGAGTTTACTCTTTACTATATGTGCTGTGGATGTGTATCAATCCATTATTTACCCTGTGGATACCATATTAATGTCTATTATTAAACATTTGTATTAACATTATCAGCCTTTACATTTTTATATCTACTTTAAAATAGCTTGAATCTTCACTGACTCCCAATAAATTATGTCTGTGACCAGTTTTGTCTTATTTTTTGACCTACTAAACATTTTATTTAAAGTTTGAATAAGAAGCATTACTTAAAATCATGTTTTATATAATGCATTTTGGTTCACAAAAGTGAAACAACTTGTTGAAAAGTATGACCATAAATGGTAAAAAAAATAAATATCATCATCAGAAAATCATTAGCAGATAGTGAATGTTTGTAGGTGAAAACATAGCCTGACTTTCCTTCGCCCTCCAAGCCATGGGGGACCCCTTGTCAGACTGCAGCCCCCTCATCAGTGCAGCATCCTCAGCTAAGCTTCGTCTGGTCCGCCTGCTGGTGGAAGGTGGGGCTCAGGTCAACGGGCGCAACCCCAGAGGAGAGACCGCTCTGCTAGCTGCATGTAAGGCCCTGAGAGGGGAGCCCGGGCCTGAGACAGTGAAACTCCTCACATACTTGCTCCACAACAAGGTCAGTCGAGTTAGTAATATTTCCAATTTGAGCTCAGAATACATGTGCTTAAATGTAATCTACAGCAAGTTTTCACAGACTAAAGTTCAACAGCGTATTGATTTAGATGTATTTCTAATGCATAATAAATGTACTTGCAGTAAGAGAGGTATGCAGCTCTTTTAATGCATAGTAAGCAGGTTGATATTTCCAACTGCTTGTGTCCTCCATCCACCTACCAAATTTGGTGGCCAATTTGGAGCTATAGAACACAACACAGTGTACTTTGAGGTAAGGTAATTATTGATTACATGGAGGAATGTGCATTAGAGAGTTCTCTTAATCTCATTAAGTGTATTCTCACTCTGGCAATGATGCTAGATCAGATCTCATAAAGATGTGAGATGGAAATGTGACCATAAGCAAATAACATGTCTTCCTAAAAAAGGAATAGTATGTCTGAACACACAACTGAGCTCTCTGACAGGCACTTTGTTCACAGTGAGCAATTGCTGAGGCTTCATGTGATACAAACTTCTATGAACTGCCCTCTTTTGTACGGATCAGGCAGATCCAAACGCACAGGACCGGGCTGGACGCACCGCTCTGATGTACGCCTGTATGGAGCGAGCAGGAGCTCAGGTGGCATCCATCCTGCTGGCTGCAGGAGCCGACCCCAGCATGGAGGACTACTCTGGAGCCTCAGCATTAGTGTACGCCATCAATGCACAGCACCAGACGACACTGAAGGTCAGTTAGGAGTGGAAAACAACGATTCAGGGCTGTCTAGATCAATACATTTGATGGATGGAGGAGATGGAGGGGACTGGGGGGAGGCATCTCAATAACGTTTTTGTGTCTATGTTAATTTGAGGTAAACAAAGCTGCAAAAGCACTCTACAGCGGTTAGTTCAGGCTCTAGCAGTGGTGGAAGAGGTACTGAGATCCTTAAATTAAAGTACAAAATACCACAATGTAGAAATACTCCACTGCAAGTTAAAGTGTTTATATTACATTACGCTATATATAAAGATTATAAAGGTTATCATACTTGATACATTAATGTGTGTTTTAATGTTGTGGCACATTAGGGTGGAGCTCATTTTATTTTAATCTATAACAATGCACCATAGTTTATAAATTGATCATAGCTTTTGTATACTAAATCTTAACTTAAGAGGAACTAGTAACTTTAAAGGTCCAGTGTGTAACATTTAGGAGGACCTATTGACAGAAATGGAATATAATATTCATGGTCATTCATTCATTAGTGTATAATTGCAATTTCTTAAAATAAGAATTGCTTTTATTACCATAGAATGAGCTGTTTTTATCTAGAGATGGAGCTGGTCCTCTTCTATGGAGTCTGCCATGTTGAACCGCCATATTTCAACAGCAGCCCAGACTGGACAAACCAAACATTGGCTCTAGATAGGTCCTTTTTTGTTTTTCACGGCCACCTCTGCTCCCTACAAATATGGAGGAAACACTGAATTGTTAGAAAGGAAACTTATGAAAGCACTTGAAATATATTGACACTGAATATCACTCCGAAAAGGTTCAGTTCCAGGCACCATCAAGACCCCAAATTGGTTAAATCCAGTCAATACCTCACCTGCACTGTGTGTTTCAGGTGCTGATGGATGCCTGCCAGGCCAGGGGTCGTGACATCATCATCATCGCCACAGAGATGGGTGTTAATGGAGGCCCGGTGACCAGGCGTTACCTGAATGTTCCTCCGTCTCCTGATACCTCACCAGTGTCCTGCATGTCCCCGTCTGACATCGTCCTCAAGACGGGCTCACCCAATTCACCTGAGGGAGAAAACATCTTCAACTTCAGAGGAACTAGTGAGTGAATGCTGATGGTTTTGAAATTCAGATTAAGGAACACATGCATGTTTTTGCAGCAAACATTATAACCACTTTCCTCTTGCACAAGTCACATTATCATTGCATGATATTACCACTGAGATAGACACATTTACCACACAACTGAAAGCCACTTCCACATGCAATCTCATCATTTTTATGTCATGTTAACATGCTGGGGGTATGTATAATATTATGCAAGTTGTCTGGCTTTTCCACCTTCATGTTGAGCTCAGTCTCTGAGTCTCTCTGTATGCAGACATTGTGCCCCTCCTGGATAGAGCAGAGTAGTGTTTAACAAAGGCAAGTCTAGACAGATGAGAACAAATTCCTGGTGGTTGAAATCATTAGCTGAGTTCTCATTCCTGAGGAGACAAGATGAAAATGTGTTGCCAGGGTGAGGTGAAGATAACTCGAGCTGCATTATAATGAAATAAGCAACATGTCTTCTGCTACACAGGAACTGACACTTAATTCATTTACTAGAAACTAAGAAGAGTGTCTTTAAATGCGGTTAGATAAGAGTGTTAGAGGAAAGACGTGAAGGTAAAGTGATAGACTGTAACATCTGTTTATTTAAGCTATGTTTCAGAATATGAATCATTTATTCTGCAAACTGCAGTTGGGGTTAAGGGTCTTGCTCAAGGGCACCTCAGTGGGGGTTTCCCATCCAGAGAATAAGGTGAATAGTGCAGTGTTTATTTATCTACCCCAAATCACAAATTTGCCTCAAATGGCTTCACTACCTGTAGAGCATAACACACCCTCTAGCTTTAGTCGATTTGGATAAGGAAAAACTTTCTAAAGGGCAAAAAATAAAAAATAGAAAAAATCTTAGGAAGATCAACAAAGAAGGAATACCAGACACATTGTTCTTCTTAACCATTTCCATATGTATTAGTTTCACTCTCACTCTTCACTGTCTTATTGACTTCCATCAGGCAAAAGAGGAAGTGGCAGCAGCAGCAGCAGCAGCAGACTTCCCTCCTGTGAGCCGAGTCCGTTGAGCCAGTGTAGCTCTCCACCGCCCAGACAAAGGCTGTCATCCGAACCTTGGCTGGCCATCCACAACCTGGCCTGTCTGAACCGGGCTTACGAGGAGGGCGTGAGGGAGAGGAGGCTGCAGGAGGAGGCAGGCAGAGAGGATTCAAGGAGGGAGAGAGGAGGGAGGGAGGATGAGGCAGGAGAGGATGAGGAGCTTTATTTTCATCAGTTCAGGGTGAAAGAGAGGACAGGGAGCGAGGTTAACAAGCATGGAGGAGAGAATTACAACAGCTGCCGTGGGGATGTCCTTCAGAGGGTTTCTCAGTCGGTCCTCTCCCTCACTGAGGTGAACTCGCCTCAGGCAACCCCGAGAAGACTGGTCCCCAAGAGGTGCTTGACACCTGGAGGCTCAACATCGAACATAATGACCAAAAAAAGTGATAAGCTTCCTGCCTGTCCGTCTCCTCACTCCCATCTCCGCAGGAACACCCTCCCCTCTGTCATGGTGGTCCCTCCTCTGCTTCACCTTCCTCCCTTAGTCAACCAATCAGACACCCACCTCCAGGTTCCACGCTTCAAAAGCAGGAGTTTGGTGTTTCTGCCTCACCCACCGAGCTCCCCTCCTCCGTCCTCTTCATCTAGAGCATCTGTGCGACCAGCAATACTCCCTCGGCTGCCCCTCGCCTCCTCCGTCACCTCCTTGGTTGCTCCTCCTGCCTACTGCTGCACTGAGAGGAGCAGGAGGTCACTGCGTCGCCACTCAGTTCAGCTCGAACAGATGAGGGGAGGTGAAACCATTTAGGCCTGCGAGACTGAGCACCTTCATTCCTCCATGATCTGGATCTCTGACATCAACCGTCATTTAACCATGTAATTCATTTTAAGATCCCAATATCAAAGCTTGTTTTAGAAAAGTACAAAACAAACCAGTAAAATATATAGGATAAAATGCAATTAAAAAAGTATGATACTAACTTTTTGCCATGTTTTTGCCTCCATATATCCAGTTCAGTGTTAGAAGACAAATTCTGACGTTCTGAATGTAAATTTTATAAAAAGTTCCCTCACAGAAGAGACCAGGATTTCTGAATCATGGTATTACTTTCTATAGGTTAATATTTAAAATTGAATTGAACTGTGACCTTTTACAGCAAAGCTATGCCTGCAGACCCCGCCTCAGAGGTTTTATATCCCAACGAGCTGAGAGCTAATTCAACCAAATGATGTTGAGGATTGTTTGTTTTTAGAGGTCTGAAATGGTCAAAATCAGCTGTTATGACAGGAAAAATGCAGATAGTTTAGCAAAATAGCATATAGCTACATAATGCTTTCTCCACATTTTTTCCACCCCTCAGATTTGTCTTGGAGTTCCCGAGACAAACTCTTGGAGTTCCCGACCTCCAGGTTAAGAACCACAGCTTTAATCTGGGATACTGAGTAATGAATTCCAGGGAACCAGTATTCTAAAATCTATATATTTCATTTAGGGTGTGATAATGGAACAAGGAATCCATCTCATCATCCTCATCACAGGACACAGCCTCAGTTAAACATTTTGTGGAGGTAAACCATAAAAGTGTAAATACAGAAAGAAAGTGCATGTTCATGGCAAAAGGAGTGAAGTCATTTTATTTGTTTTTAATATGTATCTACAACAAGGGGGACACAGGCAAAAACGACTGACAACTTGATGAAAATTAAAAACAAAAAAAACAAAAAAAACATTTATCAATGCAGTTTTCCCACCTTTTTTCCAATAAGCAACATTTTTTTGTCTAAAGAAACTTTACAATATAAAGAAACATACGAAGAAGGAACCTCTTATTTTACTACACGAGACATTTAGGATCTGAAACTACCCTAACATGAGATACAAAGCAACTCCCCAAGGACAGACTGCCTCATATTCAATACTGCTTTGTCATCAAGAGGAAAAATGAGGAACTGAACAGAAAAAAAAATCTTTACTCCCCTCAAAAAATTCCTCTCTTAACCCTCCCTACCCCTGAATGTTACAGTATTATACATCAGCACAATAGAAATACAGAAATGATCAACGTTGTGACGGCTTTACTTACAGGACAGAAAGAGAGAAGTTCAACTGCATTTTATACAACAGTATTTCGAAGTACAGGGGAGGAAATGCCTGTTCCCGCACTTTCTCTACTTCTTCTCAGCATTAAGAACGAATCTGTCCGTTATTTTTTTTTCTCTTTACTTTCCCAAAAACATTTCTCCCGCCCCTTTTTAAATAGATAAAAAAAAAAAAAATCCTTCATAGTAAAGTCTGTTCACTGGTCCCTGGTGTGTTGGATTGAGAGACAGTATCCCGTGTGCCCTGCTTTGAGTTTGTGTCAAGAGGGTAGAAGCTGAAATGCAGTGTGTCAGAGGCAAGTTCTAGTATGAAAAACTGGCCTCTTTTTTTTTTCGCTCTGTTCTTGCAAATTCCCTGTCAAAAACGGTGAAAAATATGCCTGTTTTGTGGCTCTTTGGCCACCTCACTCAAAATTTCCCCAAGAACAGCGGCAGAGTAGGGAGGCTTCTGGACAAGAAACCATGTTTAAAAGATTTTTCGAGGAAATGTGTGTGACAGTGAGTTAGCTAAAAGGCGTTCAAACACACTTCAAAATTTCCCTCCCTCGTCCTCTCAAGACCCCTCGACGCTACAGCTCTGATGCACAGTAAAAGCCCCACGTTTGTCTGTGATGAGAAGAAATAGCATAATAGTCTATAGCAGCTCCAGTTTCTGTTTCTCATCATTCATATCATTTCTGAGTAAAAGACACACCATCTGAACAAATACACACAGTTGCCTGAATCAGCACGTTTCTGATCAACTGTTGTTGTGATTTGAAAATATCAAAACATGTCAATGATATCAAAATGCATTTTACAGTATTTACAAAAAAATAAAATCAAGAAGATGGAGAGTTGTACAAAAAAAATCAGAGAGGGATGGTGTGTGCGACTGTGTGTCGATGCTGGCCCGTTGGAAAGGTGAGAAAAGGGAGAAGGAAGGAGGTCTTTATCTTCAAGATGAGCAAAGGGAGGGAGGCCACTCGTTACAGTCAACAGAGCAACGCCTTGACGCTTCCTGACCTGCTTTGCTCCGACATAAAAACACCAGAGATCCTATCAGCAGAGAGCCAGAAGTCCTTTCACCAGAAGCAACCGTAAAAAGAGGGAGCACTGCATGTACGTAAAACAAAATGCAAGCTAAACTGACTGGCGCGCGAAAGAAAATTTCCATTAAGCACAGACAGATATCACAGTGTGTTGAGGACTCATCAGCAAACAAAAAACTATCCAAGTGTTCACGACAGGTCAGCAGAGACGATAACGCAGCCTACGCACATGTTGAGAGTGAGCAGTAACTAAGTGGGCAGTAGTAGTGGAAGCAGCATGAGTGGGGTTCAAAACGGTAGAAACTTTCAGCACCTTTAGGGCTCGGATAGAGGGGGTCTACGATGATGTCAGACGGAGACGCTGCTGACTGGATCTGCATATTTACACAGTTGCTACTAGTTCTGCAGTTAAAAAAAAAAAAAAAACCCAGGGATAACACTTAAAAAAAAAAAAGGGGAAAAAAAAGAAAAGTAACAATGATTCATAAGACAAATTTAAAGTACATAAATAAATAGAGCTGTGCATTTCACTGCATGGAAGCTACTAAAAACAGGAGCCGCTTCTTCTTCTGGGTTTGGATTATTGAGCAAGAAGTTAAAAATTTAAAGATGGTTGCTAAAACTGTGAGAAAGATAAAAAAAAAAAAAAAAAAAAAAAAGGGCCAATCAGTACCGCGATGGATATAATCTTGCCTGCAGGGGGCAGTGTGCTCACGTGGAGCCACATGTTACACAGCAAATAATTTCCGATTTGTGTGCACATACGCTGTCTTCATCATAATAATGTGCCCTTAGAAACAACAGAAATTAGAACCTAATCTTAAAATGATCATAACAATATCATTAATAACAATAATACAATAATAAAAATAGCAATGATACAATACATACACAAAAAAAATGGAGAAAAAAAAAATTTCACTGATCACCACAACACCTCTGTTCAAAATGTACACACAGAGAGAACAATGTGTAGGGGGGGGGAGGGGGCGGGCAAAAGGGGTCATTTCGTCCGACCCTCAAATGAATCCATTGGGAGGAACAGCAAAAAAAAAAAAGACGATAAAAATTGTTTAAAAACTCCAAAGTCGTGGTTGAGAAGCTTCCAGGCAGCTGCTAAAAACACCCAACACTGCGTCCTCAAGGGAGGGCTGTGTTATCCAGTCTCCTCTCTCCTTCTCTCTCTCTCTCTCTCTCTGTTTGTCCTCCTTCCCTCGCTCATTGTCTAGAACCTGACAGGAAGCCAGGGAGGCCGGGGCCAGAGTCAGAGAGGAGGCTCTTCCTGTTGCTCTGTGACTGCTTCCTATTCAGACTGGCGGCCATCTTGCATGCTCCAGGAGGGCCCGTCTTAATTAGAGTCCCAGCATGCTCAAGGGCTGTCCCAGAAGGCTGTGTGGCCATAGAGTTCCCGTGTGAAAAGAGGAAGGGGGGGGAGATAGCGGATCCCGTGTGGAAGTGGGGGGAGGGGGCAGAAGGTGTGTGTGTGAGGAGGGGAGGTGGTCCAATCCGAGGTGAAGTAAGGATTGAATTGAAAAAAATAAAATAAAAATCAGGTGCAGGGGTACAAAAAAATAGGAGGGGGGGGGATAAACAAAAATACAAAAAAAAGAGGAAAAAATAAAATCACACACTCATCGTCATGTTGGGTGAATACTGAAAAGAGAGAGAGGGAAGGGGGAGGAGGGCACAGATGAGTGGATATGTCACCGACAACATTTAAACACCAGAGGGCGCTCAAACCCAGCCCTGCAAAGCTAGAGGAAGCACAGACTCAGGATCCAGGCAGACTCTAATACACCTGACTCAAGTAATCAATACTATCAATTAATAATCATATTTCTGATGATTAGGGTTGATGTTGAACTGTAATACTTTTAATGGTACAGAGAGTCAGAAACACTATTATTCAAAGCCTTGTTTACTTGTTCTTTAAACCAGAAATGTAATTTTTTATTTAATTTGGCAAAGATCTTGTACAGCTGCAGGTTTTTAATTAACATTTCAAAAAACTTTTTTCCTAAAAGTAAGAAACTGAACTTTGGTGTTGGCATCAAAACTCTCTTCTATTGTTTCTAAACGGCTTTAAGTTCACAATAATTATAACGTTTTCCAGCTGATTGGTTGAATCAGGGTATTAGGGCTTGACTATAATTCCAGCCTGTGCACCCCGTAGCTCTCCAGGCCGAGGGTAAGAGACCGTCACAATCTTACACAATGCAAGGAACAATAGTACCCCCCTCCACCTGTTGTGCACCAAACAGAAAACTACACTGACAATCACTTCAGCCTTTCTTTGTTCTTTGGCGGAAAAATGTAAATAAATGAATAAATAAATGTTCACTGAAATCACTGATACAGAGGGTATACAATGAATTGTTAAGTGATTAGTAAGCGGCTACAATGCAAGCAGAACATCAGATAGTCTTCACAGCCCCGTTTTTATAATTATTTTTAACGCTGTTGTGCGCTTCAGGAACAGATTTTCAAATTTATAGTGCTGTGTCCCAAGCATTAAGAGTATTCTAAGATTTGTTGGAAACAAAACTTGGAGGTCCTCACAGGTCTGCTCAGCTTCTTGTAACAGAGCTGAACTGGAAATCCAGTTCAAAATGATGTGTATAGCACTTCTTATAAGCCTTTAATTAATGAAAAACAAAGTAGGGCGTCCAGAAAAGCAAGTGTAAGTTGAAAAGTAACACTGCTATCCCTCTGCTCAAATATAAAGTGTCAGATCGATCAATACAGGTAAAAAAAATAAAAAGGGACAACACACAAACTTTACCAGGACATTATCAATACTCTGAAATCATCACACAAACCCTCTGCTTGCATTCTTCCACTGGTTTATGTCAGGACGTCAAGGATAACTGTTAAGGGTCGTGAAATGTCATTCACTCGCTCTACTTACACTTTCGCTTTGGAATGGGTTCAAGAAGTTCCCGCCCATTTCGCCGTCATCTCTCGGCGTTCCAGGAGGGTTGTTCATGCCCCCCATGTTATTAGGGGAGCTCTGGAGGAGGGAAAGGGCAAATAAAACAGATGAGACTGCTTCTTATAAACAGTATCACCAAACTGCAGGAAATAAAGATTCTAAATAAATGTTTTCATTTAGAAGAAGCTCAACTAACGAGGAGTTTATTGAAAACATTTATTTTTACTCACCTTTGGCAACCCATCCATATCCCCAGACCCTGAGGAAGTGAAAGGAGAGAAATAGATCAGTTGTGTTTTTTTTTTTTTTAAACAAAGAAAAAAACTGTTTAAGTTGTACAAGTATCAGCAAAAGTCTGTTTAAACCCACCTAGTGATCCATTCATGTGGTGTGGCTCCATGGCTCCCATTGCTCCCATTGGCCCGTCAGGCCCAGGTCCCATAGGGAACTGGCAAAAAGATGTAGAACAAGGCTTATAAAGACTGCAACATCATTTTTCACGTTTGACCTCTTTGAAACAACCGTGGTCTTTTCAGCTCGGGGTGTAGTACAGATTATTTAATTTATTCTGCCTGGTTCATTTCCTGTCGATTCTTACTGAGCTCAGTGTGGCGGCATTATGTTTCTCTAATACTGAATTGTGTTGGTGCCCAGTGATGTGGTTATAAACCCTATTTGAGCTGGAGTCTTTTTTGTGGGCAAGGTTGTGCAATTAATCTTTACAACAACATCCACGATTTTAACGCAGAATCAATCTGCAGTGTCTGAAACTGTTACAAAACTGGAAAGTTAAACACTTAAAAAGAAAATCCCAGAGCTTTTTGTTAAATAACTATGTGAACTTAAATTGTGTGAGACTCACATTGGGTCTGTTGCTTCCTGGTCCGATAGGATTCATCATTGTGTAGATGTTTTCACTGGAGTTAGTTGAATCTAAGGAAAAACACAAACTTTAGTTACACGATATTAGAGAGAGTCATGAATAACAAATGTTTTATCAAACAATAACATAAGTGGTGAAATGAAATAAACTGATGTGAAAAATGAGAACACTTTTTGGTGAGGGAACACATTCATGCTTGTTTAGTGAGGAAAGATGGAAGAGACATCTATTTCAGAGACTAGTGTTAGTGCTGGGGATGTAGATAGGTGACGCACCACCTGGGCTGGGCATGATGGGAGTTCCAGGTGGACCTCCTCCGCCTGGAGGACCCTGGGGAACAATCGATGATAGAGGTTAAAATAACACTCATCAGAACATGAAGTAGTACAATAAAAACTGCATTCAGAAGAGCTGCTTTGGTTTTGATAGATTTTAACTCACCACGTAGTTCCCTGGAGATGAGGAGGAGTACGCTATCTGCAGGGGAAAAGAGGAAACAGGTTATCAGATCTGAGGGTCAGAGGATACTGAATGTGAATCTATACAGCGTGAACAAAATAAGAGTTTACAATCCAATAAAATACCACAAACAGATAGCGTATAAATGTTCAGACTGAAGCAAGGAGTTGTTTCAACTCTATAGTAAAAGTGAATATCTCTTTGAAGTCCTTAAAGGAAACAGTGGTCACACGTTTTCCTCAAAAATAATCCCGACACAACAAATTAAGAGTTTTCAACAGAGCAAAATCAGTACCTCTCTGAGCAGCTAAAAGCTGAATATCATAAGCACAACATTTGTGTTTTGCTTTGTTGTACACTGCATTGCACTGAAGGTTGTTCCCTCTTTATTTGCCCACCACCTATATGTGGTCATGCGTAAAGGTCAAGGGTTTCTGACTCACAGAGTTAGCATTAGGTCCTGGCCAGGGCCCTCTTCCTCCGGGACCCCTAAGGCAAAAAGAAAGAAAGAAATAAGGTTAGAGAGAAAATGACAGAGAGATTAAAATGTTGCGAGAGAAAGGAAACAAACAACTCTTAGAAGATGCAGCAAAAGCAGAGACTATTGGTGTCTCAATGCAGGTTACAGAGTTATTATATTTCCCCAGATAGATGAGATTTAACTTACATGTTCATCCCTGGCATTGGACCACCCATGGAGTTGGGAGGAGGCCTCATACCTCCATAATTCTGTAAGAACATTCAACAAGACCTCATTATGGATTCTCATCTATATCCTTGCTTTTCTTGATTTTTGCGATTCTAATTCTTAGAACTGTCTTGGATTTGGCCTTTTGTGCCTAAAACAAACAACAAGAAACAAGCCTAAGCAAACTCTTAAAAGTACTCTTTGTGGTTTCAGGTTATTCGTACCTGTGGGCCCATGGCCATTCCTCGAGGAGGGTTCATTCTCATTGGTCCACCCATGTTAGGATGTCCTGTAAGAACAGATCCACAGAGTCACACACTGATTGCAACTCACTACACATAACACACACACGCTCATGTTAATCCACATATGGCTCGTCTCTTAAAGTCAGGAATTAAGACCTGCCACAGACAATGCTTCATCCTAATCTCATTAGTTGTAACCCCCCGGGGCCCCTGAAACTGTTATCTGCAGCTAAAATCACTACGGACATGTTCCTGAGCCAGACACACCCACAACTGTTCAATCCACAGGGAAGAAAACCACTGAAACTGAATTTGTACAAAAATCCAAGTAGATGGGTGAAGTTCAATCCTGAAATGAATAAATTAATTAATTAACTTAACTAGCAAATCAACTGAGAAAATGTATCAGAAACTGTAATAATTGATCATTCATTTTAAGTAATGGGGCAAACAAAAATGCCAAATATTTGTAGGTTCAAGCTTCCCCAATATGCAGGTTTTGCAGTTTTTCTTAATCTCTCATCATTATGAGCTGAATCCCCAAACACACATTTTGAAGGCGACCTCTTGGGCTCTGGGAATTAGTTATAGATCTTATCTTCATTCAGGGTTTCTCCCTCCAGGGTTCACCAAGTTTATATTAAGACTTTCTAAGACATTTTTAAAACCCCAGTAGTAGTAGTAGCAGTATTAGTAGTAGTAAGAAGAATCTATAGTCAGATTACTGTCAGTACTTCTCAGCTGTATATAACAATAACTGCTAATAATATAATTAATAATCATTAAACACAACCTGACAAGCAACAGAAAGTGGATAGATAGATTAACCAATTAAAAAATTATTGATTTAAGGTCAACATATGAATTTTACAAACGGTCAGAGGACTGGAACAACAGCTCTGGGGATTTCTCTGCCTTTTTCCCCCAAAATCACACACAAATATTTTATTAATAATGTTTATACCAGCAGGAAAAACCGACAGTTCTTTTATCTGCTGAAACCCTGTTATTTTCTGACATACTATAGACTAAAAAGTAATTGTTGAGTTGAAAAATTACATAATAGGTTAATCTTACAGTCACCATCTATAAACAGACACATCATTTACCACACAAAATAAACATTTCATCACAAGAAACCCAGACTCAGAATTTCCACAAGAGGTGTCCCAGTCTTACCTTGCGGCCTTGTCGGGTCCAAACTGTTTGGCAGGAGAGGCTGAGAGCCAGGGATTCCTCCTGGAGGCTGAGAAGAGACCACAAACTTTAATACTTGCTCTCAACATTTGTCAAAAAATAAATAAATAAATAAAGTGAGTAAGAAATGGCCTAAAAACTGCTCAAGTACCTGATTTGGCATTCGGAGTGCGGGGCGCGGTCCACCTGGATACCGTGGTGACATGAATGGCTGTGGAGAGAAATTGAGGAAAGAGGGGAAAAAAAGGGAGGCAAAAGAGGGACACAGAGAAAATTACATTTTTCATTATTGATAAATCCAAGAGCACTCAAACAGGGAAAGCACTGAGGACACAGATGGACACAGTGTGGTTGGAGAATGGAGGATGACACTGAAAGACTGCAAATTCATTAGCACATCCGCCTGTAAACATAAAAAAGAAACACTTAAGCAAGAGTCTGCATTTAATGAATTTTAACAATGCCTGCTTATACGCACCCTCAAAGCATGGATTTGTGTGTGTGTGCATGTGTAAAGACAGCGCTCACACAGCTCCCTGCACACCCCTGCCTGCTCTCACTGTGGTGTAAGCTGATTCGGCCTGTGGTCTGCCTGGCGTAGTTAGAGACACCTCAGGCCAACAACACCGTCCAAAACCTTAGAGGAAGCATGTCCACACTCTCTCGCACACAAGACGGAAACCAGAAACCACAAGAATGAAGAGCCGGGCTGCCGTGGTTAATGGGCAAAGGCTAGCTTTACCTCCACAGTGTCATCTGTAGCTACTGTTCTGGACAAGTGTTGAAACACACGCCGACTGAGAATGAAAGTTTTTTTTAAGGCTGAATACACTAAATATGCTTTTATTCAGTTGGCAACTTGGGTAACTTAAAACTCCAAATGTGTTACATGTGTGTAAAGTGGGTGCATATATGTGTACCCATGTGTTTTATACGTATATGTGACGTGTCCATAGTGCCTCTCCCCTGTTTTATTCATAAGGTGCAAGAACAAGTATCAGAGTGGAGGGGAGTGTGCGTTTGTGTATGTGTGTGCCTGTGTGTGTGTTAAGAATGGAGGAGCAGATAAGTGTGCAACCCCCCACAAACTGCTCCGGGGGTGGGGCACGGAGTGAATTATTCATCCCACACGGGGACAGCCGATTCTGGGCCTTGGTGAGGAGCGGGCCCTGCTGCCTCTGGATGCTCTGCTTTCATAAAGGAGTTGGCAACTGGAGGGGGCTGACATCTACAAGGAGTTAGCCAGAACGAAACTAGAGCTAACGGGGCTCGAGGGTAGGAGAAGAAGAAAGTGTGCGAGTAGTGAATGGAAAGAAAAAAAGAGCTTGTGTGTGGGCAAGGGGGGGTGGTGGGAGATTCAGAGGGAATGAAAGAGAGAGGGGTGTTTGAGAGAAAGTGTTTGCGTCTTACCTGGCCATGGGGTCCCATCATGGGGTTGCTTGGGTTGTGTGGGGGGGGCTGTGCGTGTGGGGACTGCTGAGAGCCGGGTGGTCCCTTTAAGAAAGAAGAGCCATATCAGAGAGGGGATGGGCCAAGAGGGTGGGGGGGGTTACATCTGGAGGAATTACCCGGATCAAAATCATCGGGGGGGGGGACGAGAGGGGGGAGTCAGCCAGGAGTCTTTAAGTTGAGGAGGAAGAAGAGGAGCACGAAGATGGATAAAGCTGGACATTTTTGGGGGATTCTTTAAAATCTGCAGTTAGATAATAAACTCCTTAAAAAATTAACAACACAGAATTAAAAGCCAAAGCTCAAAAGGAAGACTGTTTTAATTTGCCTTTGAATCCCCCCCAAAAAAAGGAATCGGTTTAAAGAATAATTACTTTACTGGATGGCCTTAACATGTGCGGCTACACTGAGAGAGATGATCCTGTGGACCCCTCAGGTCAGATGACTACATGTAGCTTTCCTCTCAACCACATGGGGGCAGTGTTGCCAAAGGCACACTGCAACAGGACAGGCAGCAGCAGGACAGGCAGTAGTGGCAACTTCAAACCACAAAGATGATATAGACAAAAACAAGTTGAAGTTGGAAGTTTTTCCTGCTTATTGTGAGCCTGCTTTCATATGATAAAGTGCCCTGTCCATGACAAAAGCCACTCCCAGTCTTCTCAGACACACTGCTGTGTTATTGCTGACATTTCACCCCAAGACAAGAGGTTAACGATCCCCAATAAATAACTCATTATGCAACAGTCTCTTTTTCCATGTATCCCTCCTCGGCACTGGGACATGGATTGCCTTGGTGAGTCCGGGGGTGCATATATTTATACCTACAATTAGCCAGAGCAAGCATTTATGTAGTTCTGAAGGAGAAACTACATAGAGATTTGTCAGTTTGTCTCAAAAAGCTTCAATAAATAGCACACGTGTTGTGCCATTACAGGTGAAGTACAAACCAATGCACAAAAGAATCACAGTCCAATAATCCACATCTCACAATAGACACTCCAACATGAGTAGGGCTGCATATCGAACGCCTGCTTATGACGTGTGTCCACAGCACTGAGTAACAAAAACTGTCAATTACTGCAAAGGAAGGAAAAGCACCCAATACTCATATCTGAGAGGCTGAAATCATTCAACATTTGCCTTTAACGATGAACCAATTATCAAAATGGTTACCAGTCGATCAACTTTAATCAACTAATTGCTGCAGCTCTAACGTGGTCTGATTTGCTTGAGATTAACCGATTGCACAGACCTTTTCTTTCCCGATATCAATTCAGATACCTCAGCTCAGCTAATGTTGCCAGTAACTGATCTGATATCAGTGCTCTTTTTAATGTAGACCACACTGTGAGTAACTCATTAGGATATTTTTTTATGCAAGGTAATGTGACACCAGGGATTGGCTGTGGGGCTCAAAAATGGAGTCCGTTTAATTAATGTAACTGATAACAGAAAAAACTTTACAATGACAGAACAGACAATCAATCCTGTCTGACTGATACCCTAGCCTCTTAATAAGGTCAATAATTGCCCCAATGCTGATTTGGCAAATCGGAGCATCCCAAATTTGTGATCTTGTTTAGAGCTGAAACAATTCAATGCCTTGTTGATCATCAGAACGTGAATCAACAACCATTTTGATAACAAATAAATAGGCTTTCTTTTCCAGATATAAGATAGTAAACTGAATCTCTTTGCATTTGGAACTGTTGCTTGGACAAACTGAGGCAATTGAAGACATCACCTTTGGGATCTGGGAAAAAATAAATAGCAGATTAATTTATAATGAATATAATAGTTGCAGTTACAGCCTAATCTTTTTAACTTAATCTCTGATTGAGAGTATTTGCTTTAAATCCATCAACCATTTTATGCAGACAAAGTTCTTGTACAGCTGCCTGTGTTTCAACAACATTTAGCATTTGAGCATGCGCCTTCTTTTGTTGAATAATAAAAAAATAAGAAAAACAGTTTTACATAATGACATGTACATATTTTTCAAAGTGGTATTGTTTAGGCATCAGGTCTGAAACTCAGGTATCTATTGAAATCTTTTCAATATTTCTCCTATTATGATACCAACTATGAGCATGAACCATATTTGCTGCAAACAACTAAAGCTTTCCATTACAATAAGGTCCCTTGAACACAACGTACACACAAACACACATGCACACTCACACAAACCCTTGCCCAATCTCACTCCCCCACCAATGTTATAAATAGCACTTCCATGCGTCTCTCCTCACCCTCTCTCTCTCCCCCCACCCTTCCCCTTGCTTATTCACAGTCGTACTCTCACTAATCCCCTCACCACCACCACCACCACCCTCTCAGCACATTGCCTCATTCTCAGCAAGCAAACAATGGAGTGGTAGGTAGCCACAGAAACAAACACTGGGCCACAATCCTGGTGGCACTGATCTTTCACATTTCCCTCTCCTCTTCCTCTCACCCCTCTTCATCCCTTCTCTCTATCCAACGTGTCACTCGCTTTTTCTCTCCTCCACCACCTTATCGTGCCTCCTGCCAAATGCCAGTGCTGTCCATCACACCACTGCCTCACAGAGGATGTGTGTGTTTGTTTGTGAATGTGTGCACAAATGCCTGCATGTGTTTGTATGCATTGGTGTGTGCGTGTGTGTCTCATTCTCTTCACTCTTCAGACAGCCATCTCCCACACTAAAACCTTTCCCTTCACAGAGCCGGGACAGGTCAGAGACAGAGATGGAGATGGAGGAGTGGAGAGAGGATGAATACGGGATGGTTGAATCACAAATCGGTCGAACAGCAGCCCAGCGAGAGAGAGAGTCACAGATGAATGAACGGTGTGAGGATCAGAGGCTCTCGTGGGTGTAAATATCAAGAGTGGGATAAACGATGTTTGGAAAAATGTGGGAAGAAAGGAAAAACTAGATGGGAGAGTTGGAATTGTGCTGTCACCTGATCCAACTTGATTGCTGATGTTAGAGTGAAAGACTGTTTTTGATATTGATACTCTGATAATATATCAGCTGGCATTCTTTTTGTTTTACAACAACAAACATTTTGTGAGGTTTTATGTTGAACAATTACTTTTTTTAAAAATCAGGCATCACAGTCATAACAATGAAATAGTATTGCGGTCCTGGAATTACACGTTTTCACAGGACAGTGGAGAAAAAGATAACATAAGAAAAACTGTAAATTTGGGTACAGTAGATGTAATAAACAATAAAACCATAACTCTTTATTAACTTGAATTGAATTTTAAGTAAAATATAAAAATGCTGCAAATAAAACATTTATTGCTGCAGCTTCTGCCCAGCATGCAAACAGTAACACTAATGCCAATATATAACAACATAATATCAGTCAATAATATTGGCCTGCTGATATCAGTCTGGCTCTAATAGTTTGTCTGAAATGCTCTGCCTTAAGAGATATTTTTAGAGGAGAAATGACAAAGATGACTCTAATTTGGGTGATTTGGGTGTTTTAATTGAAGAGTTAAGTGGTTATCAGTAGTGGGGAAATTCTAAGTGTTGCTGCCTTATTTAAAACTCCAATTAAAACATGACTGAATTAACCAAATATACTGTATTTTGACACCATTTCCCAGTGCTGGAGGTTGAATACAAAGAATATGCAAACGTTGCCAAAAAGTTAGTCGTTTTGTTTTTGAAGAGTAAGAGTTGGAAGAACGGTAGAGAGATAGAGATAAGAGTGTTTTTGGAGGTGATGGAGAGATGGAGGAGTGAACAGGACAGTGACAGAGGGGGTAATTCATACCTGGAAGAAGCCTGGGGGCATGGGACCACCTGGCATGGCGTCGTTCGGGGGCATGTTGCCCATCACTGGGCTGGGCGCTGCCGCTGCGCTCTGAAACACACAAATGCAGTGATTAAATGTGGTGTTTTAAGTGTCTGTGTGTCCATCTCTAACTGCTGTACAGTAATATTTATGAACATGATGCATTGGGCACAAAATTACTACAGGGGGCAGTGTCTGCACCTGCAATCACAGCAAACTCTTGTCCCCCCCCCCCCCAAAGTTTAATTTAGAAAAGTGTCTTCTATTACAAACTTTAAACTGTTCCCTCATCTCTGCGGTAGACAGGGGAGCACATAAGGCACCTCAACTCTTTCTGTGAACTAACATAGAAACAAAGAAAGGTTTCAAGGAGAAATCCCACCAAAATGTCCTTCTTGTGCTAGAAGAGTCAAGTCTGTAGGAGAAACATTCATGAAGTTTAAGTGGTATAAAGCTTTAAAGAGAGCAGGCTGCAGCATATAATCTACATTCATCCATAAACACTACTGTGCACAGAGTACTACTGGTGCTTTATTGACCAACATGAGCTTCTGCTTGTCAATCTATAATGTATGCAATGCTTCATAGGATTATATTTGTTATTTGTTTGTATCATGGTTAATCTCATATACCACCAAACCACATGCTGTCTGCTTATTTAGTTATCTAACGAATTACAGAAGTACAACCTCTCAGATGTCATGTTTCCACACAACTATCGTTTTCACCTTGCATTAACTGTGGGAATATGGTAATGTATAACTGAATCTTTGGATGAAACACCATATACACTGGAGGTGCCATCATGTACAGCTGAGTACATCCAATGCAATCAAAACAGATCATCAAAAATCATACATTTATGAAGTGCATTTTCCCTCTAGTCTTACATTCAACTCTATGGTCCTTTTGGAGGATGTAGGTGGTGTTGTCAAAGAAACAGGTAACTAAATCAACACACTTCTGTATTATCTTTGTGTTTTATTTTTATACAGATACATTTTCCACATTATATTAAAAAATGTGTTTACTAATGGTTTAACTTATTTTATTTAGTTTCACTTTGGATTATTTATTTATTTCTACTGGTTTTGTTTGTAAGGTATATTTTTTTAAAAGGTATGTTGTCATAGTATTTTGTATATTAAATCTTAATATACAAAACAGTAATTTAAAAGTGCTTGCATATCTTCTCTTAAATTGCTCATTTAAAATTCTCTTCATAAACTATAACCATGCATTTTTTAAATAACTAGCATAATGAAATTTTTCTTATCTAATTTAATATTCTATATACCAATATAAATACGTTTTCATTATTTAAATTCTAAATATAATCAAACTACTTATAAATATAGTAACAAGTCATCAGCAAATAAGTTGAGTTTGTAGGGTTTTTTCCCTATGAAGCGCTACTAGAGGCTGTTTTAAGAAGGCTGAAAAGCAAAAGATAATTGAAAGCAAGGAACAACTAATTCTTAAAATAACTGTTTGGAGCTGATGCTTATACACTTTTTAAATAGTAACCAACCAATTATTGTTTAAATGACTAAATGGTCTAAGTCAACGTTTTATATTATGACTATCAATACATTCAATAAAAGTTTCACATCATATAACAAAATTGAGTATTTGAGTATTAGATGCAGTTTGAAGTAGGGATGTCCCGGGGCCGATCATAAGGATTGTTATCAGGGCCAATCCATGCATATTTTAATAGATCAGTATCGGCTAAAATAAAGCAAATTGTTAGCCAGTCTAGACTGTCGCTTTCATCGGTTAAAAAGACGTAACGTAACCCGTGGTAGGTCATATCGGCTGTTGATCGTGTTATGCTTATGTATTAGGCCAAAACAAAGCTTTGACAGCTGTTGACGGGTTTAGAGTGCTGCAGCCGATGTCTGTACTCCAAGTCAAAGATTGCGACCGCTGTATAACCATTTCTGTAGCTCCCACAAATTCAATTGAGTGATATGTATTCTTTCTAGCAAGTCGCTTCACGTACATTTTTAGGATTTCAGTTCGACTACATTTAATTGAAGCTGATAAACTTTATAGTTTTGAATGAGAACCTTCACTATTTGAACCGAGTAGCTGTTATGATACGTGTGTATAGGCTTGGTGTTATATTATATATATATATATATATTTTTTTTTTATATATATATATATATATATATATATATATATATATATATTATAAAAGGACTCATATCGAAAATAGATGAACTTAATTGTAACATCCCTAGTTGGAAGTCTGGAGGGCAAAAGATGTTTAAAAGCGAAAAACAACTAACTTAAACCTGATGAGAGTAACTGCTTGACTAGTGCTAATCATATTACCAAATGTAACAACAATACTGCCGTTTCCAATCTCCTTTACGTCAGTTAGACAATATGGAAAAAATAAAACTGGAATCTAGGATGGGGGGGTGAATGATTGAGCCCGGGAGTTAAATATGATATAACTGTATTCTTGTCAACACACATAGATGGAGACGCGTGTTCAGAGTGCTTACATAAGCATGCCGGAACAAACACACACATGCACGCAATCACATGATCACATGAACACACACACACACACACACACACACACACACACACAAAGAGTTGCATCACAGGCTCATAAAGTGCAGCCCTTCAGTACAGAGAGGCAGACAGGAGGGAACCGCAGGCTACAGGACCAGAACAGGGAGGGGGTTTAAGACCCAGGGGAGGGAGTCACTCTCACAAACACACACACACACCCCTACCGTTCCACCAGCACACACACCAAACGAACACACAACATCCATGTGACACATACTGTATGCTTGGACAACAACGCATACTACCAATTACACGCATGTACACAAATACACCCGCTGCCCTTCTCCGGACTATCTGAAACCAACACACATAATGAGTGAAAATCTCTCACACACACACACACACACACACACACACACACACACACACACCTCCCCCCATCTTTATGCTAATTCTGCTAGTGAACATGAGCAGGCCACTGAGTCCCTGGGGAAGAAACAGGGTCGGCTGCCTCTTTCTCTCCTTCTCCATCCTCCTTCCCTCTCATTTCTCTTCTTCTGCACGCTTTTCTCTCCATCTTTTCTCCTCTCCGTGACCCCCTTCACTTATTTCCCCAGCACTGGCGCATGCACACACACACACACACACACACACACACACACACACTCACACCTTTCCCTGTGCCCCAACCCCTATACTATTCCTCCCCATCACAACCTCTCCTCCCCTCAGCCCCCCCAGTAGGGTGTCAGCAGCTTGCAGAAGCTGTTGCTATGGAGACAGGTCCTATCTGCACTCTGTCCCCCTGGCATCCCCCGCTCCAGGAGCGCAGAGAGAGAGAATAAGAAGATGCAGGAGAGAGAGAGAGAGAGAGAGAGAGAGAGAGAGAGAGAGAGAGAGAGAGAGAGAGAGAGAGAGAGAGAGAGAGAGAGAGAGAGAGAGAGAGAGAGAGAGTGAGTTAGAAGATACAAGAGTGAGGCAGAAGAGGAAAAAAAGATGAAGGAGGAAAAAAAACTAAGAATGTTAAAAAGGAGAAAGATTTATCTTCACAATCAATCACTTTGTCAGATTATTGTTATAGACTATTAATGATCTACTATCTACTTACGCATTCTACAATTTGCTAATTGAAATTGAATGCAAACAGAGCACACAGAGAGAGTGAGCAGTTGCCACCAGCAAAGGTAGATTTAGTATGCAGCCGGTCTTTATTAAAACCAACTGGCCTGGGGAAATACAAAAGGATCCAACAGTGCTTTTTTAGTTTTTGTAGTGGCGCCCACAGTACCGCCTATATCTACCTTTCCATTTCAACTCGACGCTCAGAAGTGGCAGACTGTCAGGAAACCTTGTGACAGGACTGCCTCCTTGAATCAGAATAACTCGATTCTCCAAGAAAGTAAATCTACAGGAATTTGTCTTGTTGACATTGGTGCAGGTAAACAATGACTGCTGATACAAACAGAACAGACTGGTATGGGGACAAGAGTGTACCTTTACGCAAAGAAACAAGTTCAAGAAGACAGTGCAATCCACAGCAGACGTAAGTGCTGCACTAATTAGTTGATTTAATAGACATGGGTTTTTGTAGTAGAGTTGAATAATTCATATGAATTCAGGCTGAATGTATGGAAAGGAGAGTCTATAAATGAATGAGTGTGCAAAGGAAGCACAACTTGAAAAGGCCTTAACGCCTGACATGCAGCAGTAGGGAGAAGAATACGTTTCTTTCATTGAAGCTGGCTGAAAGTTCAACAAAACCCACGGGACACATTTTCAAATGTCTGGGAATATTTACACTATTTAAACTGTGAACTATATTTTAATGGCTTTCCTCGGCAGCGCTACACAAACACAATGTCATAGCATCCCGGAGCCACGTCTGCACAAAAATAATACTAGGTGAGTTTTTATGTTACCTGACTATCAATAATACAGTATCTGGACTACAACCTGAACTGTAGTTCATCGGTGTGGCTTCAGTAGTTCTGGATGGAACTGCTAACATTAGCCTTCTTTTGGTGATTTTTTTCCCCAGCCAGGATTATATAACTTTCAGTCTCCTTAAAATGTTATTGAAGAGACTGGTTCACTATATGCGTCTGACGTTGGCGTGTTGTCATTTTGGCGGGTAGTCTTTTCCGTATGAATGAAAATGAATGAGCAAATCCTTATTGCGTTATTATGGTATTACTACCAACATAAACATATAATCTCCTCCTCTCCCCACGTACTTCCACGACTAATTTTTGCTTGTTCTGGCGGGGGTTTTCTTCCAGTTTTTTTCTTCTTCTATTTTTCTAGTATGCCTAACTTCCTGTGATTGGTCCGAAAGTCCGAACGATCCATAAAGTGTTTTCATACTGTAAATGAACCAAACCATGGTTCAGTTTGATCCGGACCAAGACCACCTCTTTAGTCTGGACCAAATGTTGGTCTTTTAATCCGGACCGTGGTCCGTGGCACCTTTCTCACCTACAATTTTGGTTCGGACCAAACTGAAAAGTCCGAAGGTCCGGACCAAATGAGGTATGTGT